GTCAAGAGAAAATCTTTTGTTAGTACATCCAAGAGCCCACAAGTCCGTTTCAGTTTTCAACGTTTGGTGCGGTATAATTGGTTCAAAAATTGTTGGCCCGTTCTTTTATGAGGGAACCCTAACTGGTGAAAGATATGTGGAATTTATGTCAGAAATTCTGACTAATTTCTTAGACGAATTGGATCTTATAAGTAGACATCATCTACATTTTCAGCAAGATGGCGCACCTGCCCACAACTCCAGAGGTACTTATCATTTTCTAAGTACTACTTTTAATGATCATGGATAGGAACAAATGGCCCAATACAGTGGCCTCCCAGATCACCAGATCTAAACCCACTTGATTACTTCTTGTGGGGTTACTTAAAGAACCAAATTTACAAGCGAAGGTACGATAACCTTGACGCGTTAAAGACTGCAGTTAGGGAAAAGATAACCCAGATAGATGGTAGGACCATACTTAAGACAGTTCGAGCAGTTGAAAAACGTGCCCAAAAATGTATTGAAGAACAAGGTGGTGTTTTCGAGCATCTTCTTTAAAAAAATTGTTATTGTATTTTGTAAGATTATAAGTTGATGTTGAAAATAAGTTTGTCGATACAATTTAATTGTTTCAGATTGGAGGCCATAACTTCAACAATTTGTAACCTAGGAGAAAAGTTATTGTGAGCTTTTTTGTTTAAAATTTGATGCTTTAACAGAAAAAAATATAATATACAGGGTTTCCATTTAAAAAAATGTTATTTTACTGAAAAAAATCAAAATAACGACTCTCAATTGTTTTTTTTATTTCTCATTTTACCAGCGTTAAAAATGCTACTAGTTTGCTAATTCAAACAACTTTGTATTTTCACTAATAACAAAGTTACTAATGGTGGACTCTTAATTTGGATAACCCTGTATATATACAGGGTGGCCGCAGCGGTGGCCACAGCGGTGGCCGCAGTAGTAGACTCTTCGGTCTCCTGATCAGTCGCCGTGCGCTGTGCGGGTTCGAGTCCCGTCCCAGGAGACATTTTTCTCTTGGCTATGGATGTTGTGATTGTCCGTAGGTGGTAGATGGTCTTTGACTGTCGAACGCGGAGGTACCACCCGGCTGTTCTCGTAGGCGGAGCCAGAATGTGTGCATGTTGCATGCACACGTGTTCCCGCGCCAGAGTCCGTGTGGCGTCCCCCCTTTCCCATGTATCCCCCTATAGCCCCACGGTACCCAATGGGTCTTAGGCCTTAGGCCTTCGTTAGTTGGAGTATAAAAAAAAACAAAAAAAAAACACGTGGAACGTAGTCATTGTCATCAGCAGCCTGTTAGGAGAGAAAAACTCAGCTTTAATTAGGAACTTCGATAAATTATTGCAAGGTGAACTCTAGGAACTTTAATCTTTCGCTTTCGATAAACTATGTTATCATCCTATTAGTATTGCGTTATAAAAAGTACTTTACGCTTTCACATTTTGGCGTCACGAGATTCTGTTAAGGAGCCTCAGCACGCACCAAGAAATATATTTACAACATATTAACTAAATAACTTCTAAGTCTTTTTATTGCATCTACATATAATATCACGAATTGCCATATGTATAATGTTTAACAAGCTATTTGCTTTTATCCAAGGATCTGCTCAGATCTCACAACTCACACCTATTTAGAGTTCAAGCAATGTGTTTCCTACTTCTAATATCAGGTATTCCGAGACTGCTACTGTTTCGTAAAGACAATTTTTCGTATTTTCCTATACAGTTAATCCAGAATTGTTCAAATGCTGTACCGTTAATGGAGATTTACTTCCATTTCTTTGTATTACCTAATTTATATCTATTGTAATAATAACTGAATGATTCACATCGCAATATAGATAGTATTTCTGCTCCGATGTACGAAAGCACACCCAATTGGCTAGTAAATAGTAATAGTAGTGGTGGTGAGGCGAAGGTCACGTTGGGCGCTTTTTGCCGACCCCGTAGTACCAACACTGTACTACCCTAAACTCTATATCACGAGTATCAATCACGTTGGGATCTCTATTGGGGTGAACAGCTGATCAACTGGTGGCATATTTGTATCAGTCTGTAACGTTGACAATAATGAATCGGGTGTAAATCCAGTAAAACATGCTTGTAGCGTTTTTATTTTCTGTAATCAAATGAACTTTGCTAAATAAAAGAGTTGTTTCAAAACAAAATACGAATACGGTTCTGTCTACCTAGCGTTGACTGATCGCCCAGAATTATGTGTCATTTGTCGATATGTGGTATTCTGAGCTGTTATTCTATCGTAATGGATACTAGTGAAAAAGACAATACATTCTATCTACTGGTAACTAATTATTCAATCAACGAGCTCCTGCAATCCGATGTTCCTGTTTTGATCTTCAATCGATCTTGTGCGTAGTATTTCTATATAGACAAACACATCTATAATCAAAATTGACTTCCGAGGTGGGGATTCAAACCCACTCGGCTACCCAGCCCCTCTAGTAAATTGTCTACCTACTTGAATATTCTTCCCAAAGAAAAGAATGTACCTACGATGTATTGGTTTGTCAGGTCGGTAACCACTGGTAGGCAAATCTATCAAAAAAAGAACGTTATGATACCGACAAACACTGCCTTGTAAACATAAAGGGCTTGGTTTCTTCTAACTTATACGATTTCGTCACTAGAGGTTCGACACTTTCATTTTAAAGCGTCTGAAGGATCGATACCAACAGCTTTTCATATATTATAATAAATGATATGAAATTTTGGATTACCTTTTGTATTTGGGCATCTTTTGGTATCAACAACGTGTTCTGAGCTTGCCTGATTGCCTCTTGGGTATACGCGCTACCTTCCTTCTGAGGAAAAGCTAAGGCACACCCCACTAAGGCAAAACCGAAGAGAAACAGCTTCATGTTCTTCCTGGAAATTATAAAACATGTCAATTCGAATATGTCACCTATACAGGTGAACAAAGAAAAGAGCGAGAATGTTTCTGTGACAGGACTAACTTTCACGTGAAAAAGAGACTCAAGTATCGCCTGATGAGTGTTGAACTTATACATATTTACAAATTATGACATAGAAAATGTTTACCCGCGCAGCAGTGAAGGTATTAAGTATCAATTTTATACATAGTATTAATAGCACAAGTAATAACTCAAACCAAGACTCAAATATGTGCCTGCCTCAAACTAAATCAGAGGCGCAAGTTATGTTGCTGTCATTTAACACTTTATTAGTTGATATAATAATTGCATTGTATTCCTTTTTACTAGCTCATCACTTTTGGTTTATATTAACGATTGTATCTTAATTATGAGGTAGTCATTCAATCTCAGTCACAGCGAACACACACACTGTAATTCCAGTTCGGTTGTTGGAATCAAATAAAGTTTTTTAAAAACGAAGTTTGAAGTTCCGACTACATAATTGGCGCAGCCCGCAGTAGGATTCCCAAAGGGATTTTCGCCGATTAGCCCTTGAGTCCGAACTCTTAATTGGGAATCGCGAACCTCCGCGACGAGCTGGTACGACTGAAGAAAGAAGAAAGAATTTGGACCACAAGTGCCCTTTGTCCTGTTAAAGTCGACGTCCACCTGAGGAACCTAGGCCAAGAACGGTATGAAGTACTGGACCTATCAGTAAGTGCTCATTGTATCCTTATTTTTTCATGAGTGACTCACCCCGACCTGTACATCCTTTCGAAGGTGATAGTGCAGATCAAATCGCTAATCGCATAGCAAGCTTAGAATTAGGAAGTAGAGAAGTAAGACAAGCAAACGACACTATAGAAAAGATAATAATGACGACCCCCAGTAGAAATAGTGCCCCCCCAGTTCGACATAAAATTACTCCCAAATTGTACCAGAATTCCATGGGAATCCCTGTAGACTATATAGATATTTAGAAATAAGCACAGATTTATTAGTTATTTAATAATTAATAATTCCACAAAAATTTCCAACAAACGCACAATTTTTTGGCAATAGACCTAATGTTAATGTTTGGCGTAATCCGCCTAACCAAGGACCTTCCTACAGGCCTACTCCTATGAGTGGTGTTAGTAGCATCAATAGAAATAAGAATTTCCAAAATAATTATTTTAGACCTTTTGGCCCAAGGAACTTTGCTTCTCAAGAATAACATAACGTTGAGAGTGATCCTTATGATAAAAATTTTGGAAACAACCCTTACGATGACTATTACTGGGAATATTGTCAGGATAGTGAAAATCAGTATGACTGTTCTGATCTATATTACGAAAACCCTGATGAGACACAAAATGATGTTTCTGAAACTGGTCAAAAGCCTGATGAAGAAAAACAAAATTTTCAGATGGCCGTGCCCATGATAGAGGAGACATAATACACTTAAACACGATCTATAACAAAACAGAGTTACCTTATACTGAAATTAAAAATCCGCCTTTAAAGCTTCTTATAGATACTGGTGCAACGAAATCACTTTTAAATCCTGATCTTGCACAATAGCATTTTCAAAATGTATTTATAAAGAACCATTCGAAGTAACTTCAGTTTTTCAGCATTCGAAGAGAGACTATTGTGCTAAAATTCTCAGAACTCAATGTTAGTGAGCCTATAAAATTTCATTTGTTCAAATTTCACAAGTATTTTGATGGTCTGATTGGTTTAGATATTTTGAAACTTCTAAATTCGCATATTGACCTTAGAAATTCTATTTTGCATACCAAAAACGCCAAAATTCCAATCAAATTTCATGATTTGAAAAATCGTTTGTTATTTTTCATAGAAATTGAGCCCCACATGGCGGCCCAAGCCAAAATTCCTGTCGATACTTATAATGGAGAAATTTTGATTCCAAATTCCAAAATTAGAGATTGTGTAATCAAGGAAACGCTTACTCATGCTATAAACGGTTATGCCCTAGTTGACCTAGAAAATCCTAGTAACACCTATCAAGAAATTTCCTTGTATGAGCCTATTGTTTCATTTCCGTTCGACGCAAACAATTACGCTTTATTCCACGCTATCATTAAACCATCTGAATCAGTTTCGCCGTTGCGACATGATCTCAGTAAACTGATACGAACATCCCATGTCAATCATGAAGAAAAAACTCATATTCTAAAATTGTGTCAAACCTACTCCGACGTATCCTATTACGAGGGTGATGCGTTAACTTTCACAAACCAAATTAAGCATCATAGGAGGACCACAGATGAAATTCCTGTTCATACAAAATCGTATCGTTATCCACACATGCTCAAAAATGAAATGCAAAGCCAAATTAGATCCCTTCTAGATCCGAATATTATTCGACATAGTAGTTCAGCTTGGAATTCTCCAGTTTTTCTCATTCCCAAAAAACCTGATGCTAGTGGTGAAAATAAATGGCGTATGGAGGTTGACTATCGACAGGTTAACGAAAAGACCATAGATGATCGCTACCCCATTCCATGTATTTCTGACATTTTAGACAAATTAGGTCGTTGTAATTACTTCACAACTTTGGATTTAGCTAGCGGTTTCCACCATATTGAAATAGCCCCGGAAGATATTCAAAAAACAGCATTAAGTGTTGATGGAGGTCATTACGAATACCTTCGTATGAGTTTTGGTCTTAAAGGAGCACCAAGCACATTTCAGCGTGTTATGGACAATGTCTTGCGAGGACTAGATAACCCTATGGTGTATATGGATGACATCATAATTTATTCTACTTCTTTACAAGAACACATTGTATCATTGAAAAAGGTTGTCCAAAGATTAAGTGAGACAAACCTCAAAGTTCAGTTAGATAAATCCGAATTTTTGAAAAAGGAAGCAGCTTTTCTTGGTCACATTGTCACATCGCAAGGAGTAAAACCAAACCCCGACAAAATTAAAATTAAACAGTTTTTAGGTTTTATTGGTTATTATCGTAAGTTCATTAAGGACTTCGCAAAAATCAATCGCCCTTTCACCCTATGTTTGAAAAAAGGAGCAGAAATTAAACATGACGAAAAATTTCTCAATGCTTTTGAACATTGTAAGAATCTCTTAACGAATGAACCATTATTACAATATCCGGATTTTGAAAAGCTCTTCATATTGACTACCGACGCAAGTAATTTTGCTGTATCAGCTATACTTTGTCAAGGCCCTATTGGCTCTGACAAACCAATAGCTTATGCATCTAGAACATTAAACGATTCTGAACAAAATTACAGTGCGACTGAAAAAGAATGTTTAGCAATAGTTTATGGAACTAAGTATTTTAGACATTATCTTTTTGGACGAAAATTTAAAATTGTAACAGATTGCAAACCGCTTCAGTGGTTAATGACTTTAAAAGAACCAAATTCTAGATTACAAAGATGGCGCTTAAATTATCCGAATTTGAGTATGAAGTTATATACAAAAAAGGTAAAGAAAATAAAAATGTTGATGCACTTTCTCGTATTCAAATTCACGCTACTGAAACTGACCCACAACCTTCTACATCACAAATCCAAGATGAAGAAGAGTTCCCATTTATCCGATACATGAAACCTTCAATAAAGACTTTTCCGAAAAACCTACAGATGACCAAACGTCTATAGAAAATAATGTAGGTGATGAACAAACAATACGCAATTTGCTAGACTTGAGTGAACGAGTTGAAAACGTAACTATTCACTCAGACGATGAAAGCCCCATTCAAGAAATTAACCCTGTAGAAAAACCTATCAATGTTTTCAAGTATCAAATTTTTGTTAAAAAAGCTATTATGCCCAGAAAACTCACACTTCAAACGTTATGGGATCAAAACTAATCACCGAGGAATTATTGAGACTGTAAACCAAATTAAAAGAAAATATTATTGGCCCCACATTGATGATGACGTGAAGTTATACGTTAATACCTGCGATATTTGCCAGCAAGGCAAATATGAAAGACATCCACCTAGAATTGAATTTGAGATTACCACGACAGCTAAAATGCCATTCCAAATTGTTCACTTAGATGTATATCAAGCTAACAATAAGAAATTTTTAACAATAATGACAATTTTTCAAAATATGCGCAAGCCTTCCCAATCGAAGCAGCTGATGCTATCTCTGTTGTAGATAATTTGATCAAATTCATGTCATTTCATGGTTTGCCCATCCAAATTGTTGCAAATTCTGGTACTCTGTTCAACAACGCCTTATAAAAGAGTTTGCAAAACTCCATAAGATAAAGCTACATTTTACAACTTCCAAAAATTCAAATAGTAATTCACCTATTGAACGATTCCACTCCACTATAACTGAACATTTAAGAGCTCTTGCATTGCAATTTCCAAAAAAGGATGTTAATTCTTTGATGCCTTATGCAATCCTTGGCTACAATCAGTCCATACAATCAGTGACGAAACGAAAACCAATTGAAATTATTAACGGACATTTAGACGTTAGAGATCCTTTTGATCTAGACGTTGATCGAGAATTAATGAACAATTACCTTCAAGAACACAAGAATAGGACAAAATTAATTTATAGCCTTATCTATGACATGTCGAAAACCCAAAAGGGAAAGGTTATTCGAAAAGCTAATAAAGATCGCGAAAAACCGACCGACTATTCTAGAGAAAAAGTAGCTTACCGACGTGACGCGAAGTCTCGAGGTAAAAATCTGAAACCGCCCTATATAAAAGAACAGACTTTGACTGACAAAGGTTTAAAACTCAAAATATTTATCATAAAAGTATTTTCAAAAAGCCCAGAAAAAAAGTAACTCAAAATTTGTTACATTATGATACTTCTGATAGTGCATCTGACACATCAGTCCACGGTGAAGGTGGAAAAAAAACAAATCCTGGTATACTACCCTTCAGATTAGGTGATGCTTAAGTAAAAATAGGAACACATACATTTTTAGACTATGTAGATTTTAAGCCGATAATTAAGGAAGTAAATTCGCTAAGTACAGTATTTCAAAAAATCAAGGACCAAACAGAAAAGAATAAATAAATTTAGGATTCATTCCAGATATACATTTGGCAGATATAGAACAGCATATAGTTTACTCGATGTCAAATTTTAAAAACAAAATAATGTCCATATATCCATTCTGGAAAAAGCAATATCGCCCAAAACGAGGCTTAATAAATGGCTTAGGATCAATTATCAAAATGATTTCAGGGAACTTAGATGATGACGATGCTAAAAAATATGACCAGGCTATTGAACAATTACAGAAAAATCAGAATCAAGTAATTAAGACAGCTAATCAGCAATTTTCCTTGACCCACGAGGTTCTCAAAATGACAATAGGACATTTAGCCTTATGGTTCACAATCAAGCTGTAATAGAAAAAACTTTGGTAGAGATGCAAAGGAACAATACATACTATTTTACTATTTTGGATACACTATTACAAATAAAGTTCAATTTAGATGCACTGCTCTCTATAACTAGTAATTTGGAAAATGCCATCGCATTTGCCAAAATTGGTTCATTGCACCACAGTATTATTTCGATAGATGAATTAAAGTCAATATTCCAAAATTAGTCAAAAATCATAATAAAGCTCAGTTGGTGTATTCAGACATCAAAGATATTTAAAGCTTTACGACATAATTTCAGTAGAAGCATATTTTTCCCAAAGTCGATTAGTTTTTGCCTTACATGTTCCGCTTTTGCACGTAGACAAATTTAAGCATTATCATCTTTATTTCAGAGTCCAAATACATTGCTATCTTCTCGAAACAGTGAAGCACCCCTATAAATGGAGTCTACCCCTGTATCCAATTATGTTAATTGATATTGCATGCATTTTCGTGAAAAAGTATTACCAGAGAAGAAAAGGATCAAGAAGAAGCCAGCATTTAGAAGAAATCGAAATGCAACCCCAGAGGCACGAAGTTTCGTTTGTGCCCTCCAAAACTTCATCTTAAGGGTGGAGGAGTTATGTTGATGTCATTTAACACTTTATTAATTGATAAAATAATTGCATTGTATTCCTTTTTACTAGCTCATCACTTTTGGTTTATATTAACGATTATACTTCGCTATACTCGTCCAATTAGATCACACACGTAGTAACACCATTTATGCTTTGTCGAGCACAACATTTTTAAAGGTACCCCGTATACAAACAAAATACCTATCTATCTTGCGTTTCTTATCGGCCCAGGCATATGAATCATTACACTGTTGTGCTTCGTCGAGTACGGACCGGTTTATTTACATTTTGGTGGAAATTCGTGAAATGCCGAAGCGAAAAACAAGTAGTGATGCTGCAAGATTGGAGAGAAAACGGCGAAAACTAATTAAGAGTTTAGAGAAAATTGACAAGAAAAGTCGGCGAGGTGATAGGTGTAAGAGCACTAGTAAGTTGTTTTTAGGTAAAATCGTTAAACCTAATGTATTAAGAATGGGCTAGAACCGTTAAAGCCTTTTGCAGTTTTCACATAACGTGAAAAACATATAAATAGGGTAAAACCGTTAAACCCAGGACATATTCTACAGAATATGTTAAGGATATTGCATGCGCAAGTAGGTGAGGACTGTATATATTTTTTATGTGAATCCAGCTCTGATTCTGATTCATCAGGAAGTATAAGCAGTGTATATAGTACGGGACAAACGTATACACATTTAGAGCCAGAAGTCATAATCAATGAGGCAGAGAGGTATCCTCCTGTAATTGAAGAACAATCTCAAGATGAAAATCTGGAAATTCCGTCGGGAAGTGAGCCAGTATTAGGAAGCGAGGTTCACAAATCTCTGGCTGATCGATGGACCAAGTACGTGACATTAGGTTTAGAGAAATCGGACAAGGAGGAGTTGCACAAAAAACCTGATTCCCAAAAATATTCCTTACTTACGAGCCCTTTTGTTGAACCCGGAATTGGAAGCAACCTTAGGTGATCCTGTCAAAAAAGAGGACAAATATGTTTCTACTATTCAGAAGCATGGTTTTTAAATCCAAAATGTTACCCAGTGTGGTGGACGCTGGCAAAATTTTGTGTGGCGTTTTCCACATGATGTCCACAAACCGGAAATATCACGTAGAAGGGCATTTAAACTCTACAGTGAAGAAAATCGTCAGAGAAAGTAAACCTGACGAATTTTTGTGTGGTAAAAATTTTGCCGATAAATTCAAAGAGGTTAAGGCCCAATGGAGAACGGGGAAAGAAATGAAGAATGCTCATCCATCTTCGTCAAGACAGCTGCCATCTACCTCAATAACGTTTTTCCTGATAAGTCCTTCAGAGGTAACCTCATGCAGAGACCTTCGGTATCTTTAAACTACCAGCCTCACTTCCACAAAGGAAGAATGAAAGGTCGCCCTCAAGGAAGAGACCGGGCTCAAGGGAAGGATCGCCACGACAAAGTGTACCAGAGACGCAATTACCAGTAATAGAGGTGGGTACCAGTGTATATGGTGGCAGAATAAAACATTATATGGCAAATTGGCGGCAATTTACTCAGGATAAGACCATTTTGTCGTGGGTCAAGGGATATAAGATGCCATTTTTCAAAAATCCTTTTCAATATAGTTATCTTCCAAAGAAAATGCAGGACGATGAGATAAGACACTATTCCGCTGCCATCTTGGATTTAGTGAACAAGGGAGTAATCAGTCAATGTCAACCAGTAGAGAACCAAATTTTATCTCCCTATTTTCTTATACCAAAAGCCGACAAAACAAAACGTTTTATATTAAATCTAAAGTATCTCAATATGTTCTTGAAAGCACCTCATTTCAAATTGGATAATTATAAATCTGTTAAAGATTTAATTTCTCGAAATATCTACATGGCTACAATCGATTTAAAAGATGCCTATTATATGATACCAATAAATAATAGAGATAAGAAATTTCTTAGATTTAAATTTGCGGAAAAACTGTTTGAATTTAATTGCTTGCCTATGGGTTTATCTACGGCACCCTATGTTTTCACTAAGCTTTTAAAACCAATATTTAATTATTTTAGGCAACTCGGAATCCTGGGTATAATTTACTTGGATGAATTTTACTGCTAGGAAAAACTAAAAGTGAAGTAGATAAGAGTATAGCTATAGTGTTGTCCACTTTGAGAAAATTGGGTTTTTTAATAAACTTTAAAAAATCAAAAATTGACCCGAGTCAAGTTTGTGAATATTTAGGATATGTTTACAATAGTCAGAACATGACATTTTATCTTCCCAAACATAAAAACAGGCATTTTTAAATGCAATTAATACTTTTGTTAGGAAGAGAACATGTAAAATAAGAGAGTTATCAAGTATTATTGGATTGTTAGTTTCAGCTTGTCCGGTTGTACAATACGGATGGTTGCATATTAAGAGATTAGAACGAGCAAAATTTTTGAGTTTAAAGAGATTTAGAAGTTATAATTCTAAAATTATACTATCAAAGATTATTGTAGGGAACTATTGTGGTGGAAACAGACAATAGACACATCTTTTAATGATTTGGGTAGTAAAGAATATGCTTACGAAATTTATACAGACGCTTCCAAAACGGGATGGGGGGCTGCATGTAATACAGAAGTTACCCATGGGTTTTGGGATCAA